TATGACTTTTTATTCCTTACTATACTATGACTTTTTTATGACTTTTTATGCTTTACTATACTATGACTTTTTTATGACTTTTTATGCCTTAATAGAGTATGACTTTTTATGCTTTACTATACTATGACTTTTTATGTCTTTCTATACTATGTTGTTTTTATGACTTTTCATGCCTTAATATACTATGACTTTTTATGCCTTACTATACTATGACTTTTGTATGACTTTTTATGCCTCACTATACTATGACTTTTTATGCCTTACTACACTATGACTTTTTTATGACTTTTTATGCATTACTATACTATGACTTTTTATGCCTTACTACACTATGACTTTTTTATGACTTTTTATGCCTCACTATACTATGTTGTTTTTATGACTTTTCATGCCTTAATATACTATGACTTTTTATTCCTTACTATACTATGACTTTTGTATGACTTTTTATGCCTCACTATACTATGACTTTTTATGCCTTACTACACTATGACTTTTTTATGACTTTTTATGCATTACTATACTATGACTTTTTATGCCTTACTACACTATGACTTTTTTATGACTTTTTATGCCTCACTATACTATGTTGTTTTTATGACTTTTTATGCCTTAATATACTATGACTTTTTATGACTTCCTATACTATGTCGTTTTTATGACTTTTTATGCCTTACTATACTATGACTTTTTTTGCCTTATTATACAATGACTTTTATTGCCTTACTATAATATGACTTTTTTTGCCTTACTATAATATTACTTTTTTGCCCGACTATACTATGACTTTTTTGCCTTATTATACTATGACCTCTTTGCCTTATTATACTATGACTTTTTTGCCTTACTATAATATGACTTTTTTTGCCTTATTACACTATGACTTTTTTTGCCTTACTATAATATGACTTTTTTTGCCTTACTTTACTATGACTTTTTTTGCCTTATTATACTATGACTTTTTATGACTTACTATACTATGACGTTTTTTGCCTTACTATCATATGACTTTTTTTGCCTTAGTATACTATGACTTTTTTTGCCTTACTATACTATGACTTTTTTGCCTTACTATCATATGACTTTTTTGCCTTATTATTCTATGACTTTTTATGACTTACTATACTATGACTTTTTTTGCCTTACTTTACTATGACTTTTTTTGCCTTATTATACTATGACTTTTTTGCCTTACTATAATATGACATTTTTGGCCTTACTATAATATGACTTTTTTTGCCTTATTATAACATGACTTTTTATGACTTACTATAATATGACTTTTTTTGCCTTATTATAACATGACTTTTTATGACTTACTATAATATGACTTTTTTACTTTTTATGACTTACTATAATTTTTGCCTTACTATACTATGACTTTTTTGCCTTACTATAATATGACATTTTTGGCCTTACTATAATATGACTTTTTTTGCCTTATTATACTGTGACTTTTTTTGCCTTACTATATTATGACGTTTTATGGCGTTTATTTTGCCTTAGTACAATATTACTTTTTATGCCTTACTATACTATGACTTTTTGTTGCATTTTTTTGCCTTATCATCCTATGACTTTTTTTTGCCTTATAATACTATGACTTCTTTTACCTGACCATACAATGACTTTTATGTCATTTTTTTTGCCTTACTCTAATATGACTTTTTTTGTTTTATTATACTATGACGTTTTATGTCTTAGTATACTATGACTTTTTGTTGCATTTTTTTGCTTTATCACTCTATGACTTTTTATGACTTAGTATAATTTGACTTTTTATGCCTTACTATACTATGACATTCTTTGACGTTTTTATTCTTCATTACACTGACATCTTGTCTTCATATGATATGACATTTTATGCACTTTATGCAATTTTTTTTTGTTTATTATATACTGACTTTTTTTTATCACATTTTCATGCCTTCTTATACTGTGACATATTTATGATTTACTCGACCTTGTCACATTTTTTGACCTATTTCAGTATGATATTTTTTCAACCATCTCATGACCTCCTAGAGGGTTTAGTTGTTAGCAATGTTGCTTTACAAGAAGAAGGTTCCTGATTCATGCCTACCTTCTGGTTGCCCAAGATTTTCTCATCTCTCTGACTTTCTTCCAGGTCTTGCTTCCTCGCATAGTCCAAAGTTTTGGATAAGTGCTTAATTTACCACTTGGGGGCTTTAAATTGCCTTTTAGTTGTTCACGTTAGCCCCTTTTGACCTGGCCAGGGTGTACCCCTTTGGATTTCAAATAGTATGATATTTCTTTCATGTTTCTATGCTTTATTATACTATGACATCCTTGTGTGTGATGTTGTGAGGTGCTTGAAGAAGGCTCTGGACACACAGATGGCTGAAGTAGTTTTTATTTACTTTTTCTGCAAGGAGAGAGTTGAACAGTACAAGTTAACACTGTGTAGTGAGACAATTCTGAGGGAATCTTTCCTTTTTACCACATTTAACCCTATAACTGTCATATTCACTACATGTACAAATGTATGTATGGTTACTCCTCATGGGACGACATCACATCCATATCATTAAGTTAATGTTTGAATCTCGTTTTACCAAACTCAGTGTATATCTATATATCGAGGTAACTCTGTCTCACTGAGAGAAACTGAGACACACTTCATTTGTTATGTCTCTCTACCTTCACAGCTGTCCTAGAGGCAGACAGTGAACTACAGTATATAAACTGTATACAAATGTATGAAAAGAGACTTAAAGTATAACCCTGGGACTTCTCTTACATCATTATGGGTTGCTACAGAGAATTCTGATAAAGAGTAAGAATCTTTTTGTTTCACCAGAAACCACTGTTACATTACACATAATGTACATACAGTGGAAATCAAACCTTGTTCAGAAAGTTGGATCACACTGATGTGTCACTGTCGGCTTCAGTCCATTTCCTCCCAGACCAGCTCCATGTGGTCCAGGTCTGGAGACTGTGCAGGTCTCCATCACGTAGTAGTGTTGTCATGGTGATGATTAGAGGGTTTGTCATCATCAAATCATCAACCTGGAGGAAGTGGGGCGTCGAGTAGCTCGGTTGAGCATCCGCCCCATGTGTAGAGGCAGAGGCTGCAGTCGGCCCCGGTTCGAGTCCCGCATCAGACAGCCCTTAGCTGCATGTCATTCTCCCTCTCTCTGCCTCCCCATTTCCTGTCTCTCTACTGTGCTATCAATAAAGGCACAAAAAGCCCGAGAAAAAAAAAAACCTGGAGGAAGTGTTTCATTAACTCTCACAGCTTCGTTTACTTCACTGACCCTCGTTTTTTGTTCTACACGTGTAGTAGAACTCTAACATCTCTAACCCGTTCACCAGGTGGCACCTGCGCTGACCAGTATCACCTAGCAACAAAAGAACAGGAAAACACGGCTTATAATTTGTGGTTTGCCAACATTGTTATGGAGAGAGCATTTCTTTTTCCAAATCAGATTTTTCTTTTCATCGTCTCAGTATTCGCTGAATTTTCAAAGTAAAACTTCCTGTAACTGTCGAATTCTTCCTCAACACTAAAGAGTAAACAGAGCTCAGCGGTTGGATGTGGTTCCTCAGTCTGCCATTTCTTTTATTTTGAAAAAAGTGTTAATTTACCTAGAATTCATTGCATCACAGTCCGACTTAAGATACTCAAGATCTAAACTGCTTTGTGCGACAGATGAACTCAGATTTAAGATTTGTGAAACTGGCTCCTGCTCTCTGTGCCGTCGACTTGCATTAGATTTCACATGCGAGTTAATAAAGTGGCCACTGAGAATAAATAAGATTTTCTTCAAATAATTTTGGACACTTACTAAAAACAGAAAAGTTTATTTCTACAGTTCGTCCACTTAAGTAAAAGAAGCTCTGAAGATGCAAAAAGATTCAGCAAATATATGCATTTTATATTTCATTTATATATTTTGCTTTTAATTAGTTCATTTTCTTTAGTTGCTGTTTGTTATGAGTGAATACAAACTGAAACCTTCACTTTTTATTTTCTCTGTGTGAATAAATTTAGTCTTTTTGCATTTTTCTTTCATCTTTCTGACTTTTTATTCTGTCAGTGAGCAGACTTGTTTCTGTGAATCTTTAGAAAAGTCTGGATTCACGAGCACAAACCCTGGAACAAACACCTTCAAAAGAGAAGAGCACCACGTTCTGTTTTCTTGTTAAGTTTTTATTATGCTTAAAAAAGAAAATTAAAAGACAGAGGAGGTGGTGATCAAAGAAAAAGAAAAAATATATATTCATATTCAAATATCTTTATACTTTTCTATTCATATATGATTAACAATGCAAAGAAAATAATTCCCGTAGTAGTAGTGCTTAAGTAAAGTTCAATATAGACTTTTATTATAACAAAATAGGCAGTTTACCCAGGGTTAAATATCCGTCAAAATCTCATTGTACAAGAATCGTCTGCGTGTTTCGGACACACCAGCGGACACCTGGAGGTGGCAGCTCGTCTCCAGGTCCACCCACACACACCCACATGATCGACATCGTTGCCATGGTAAGACACTGACGACGCTGACGGACGTCGACCGAGGCGACTGCGGGGTTCAAACTCGTGTCACAGAGGGCGCCGCTCCAAAACGAGACGACCCCCCCCAACACAGTAAAAATCATGAATCTGAAATGTTTCAACATCAACGGGAATTTAATCAAAGTTTAAAATCAGTCGATCGATTACACTGTAAAAAAATACTTTGCATTTTCTGTATTTTTCTGTTTGTAATTTTTTAAGTGTCATTTTATTAAAACAAGGAAGCGGATGCGAATTTAACAGAGTTATCAAATAAAATAAGTTTCTCTGATATTAGGACGCTGATGTAATTATGATCATTAGGAGATGTGAGATTTCATTAGGTGATTATGAAATAAAGATCTGGTCATTTTAGTCTAATGGATTATTAACATTATTGTCTCATAATTAATAATAACACTAATGTTTGATTCATTCATAATATTTTTTATTTTCTCAATAATTTCCTAGTAATTTTGCCGTTTTCCTTTAATTCTGAATTTTTGTTTCTTGTAATTAAGATTTTAATAATAATGAGATAAAGAATAATTGACGATGTGTTTTAATTTTAAAATTATGGCTCAGTTATGAATTTTCTATAATAATTATTCATTATTATTATGAATAATTATCTTTTCATTGACTTTTCTTGTATCAGGTTTTTATGTTCCTCAGTGACCTTTGACCTCATCATACAGGGTGAAGCTAAATGTTTAAAATGCAAAAATGTTCTGACATAAAAACAGAATCATTAACTGAAAACAGATCTGGAGTTTGGGGAACGATTTTCAAATCAAACTTAATAAACTGATTGTTGCTTCACGAACTGAAGTGTAAGAAGCGGCGGCGCCCTCCAGCGGCGGAGCGGGAACCCTGCAGAGCGTCCGGACAAACATCCAGCAGCTGTGAGGAGCGAGAAATCAAACTAAACGTGAACGATTGAAGTGTAAAAAAAAAAATTAAGGAAAGAAAGAAAGAAAAAAGATGAAATGAACGCAGAACAAAGGAGAAAAGCTGTGACGTCAGACGCTGAGGTGAAGGGGCTGATGGGAAAAAAACGGGGGATTTACTGACATGCTGTTAAAGCTCAAACGTGCAAAGTTTTGCTTTTTGTGTCTCCGCCTTCCTGCGAACGACAGACGGCGCCTGAGAAACTCCGTCCGTCAAAAACCTCACGAGACCGAAACCAGGGAAAAAAACCCACAAACAAAAACCAAAAGAGAAAATCTGCTTCGTACTCTTCTTCTTCATGGACTCCTCCTCCTCCTCTTCTTCTCCTCCTCTCAACTTCTCCTCCCTTAAACATTAAGGAGCTGTACCGTGTTGAGTGTGATGTCATCATACTTCCTGTGTGCTTTACTCTGCTGGTCAGGAGTCTGATTCAGTGAAGCGACGCTCCGGTCGGCCACTGTGTCAGGTGATCAGGAGGGGGAGGGGCAGGGGGGGCTGCTGTCTGCAGGTCGACTTTTCTTTTCAAAATAAAACAAACTGAATCTAAAGAGAGGAAGAGGAAGAGGAGGAGGAGGAGGAGAGGAGCGTTCCAGCTTCATAACTTCTCCTTGGACTGGACCCAGATGAACGGACCCGACTGCTCCTCGATGATCTGCTTCACCTGCTCGTAGATCTCCTCCAGAGTGTCGCCCTGCACGATGGCTGCACGCACACACACACACACACACACACACACACACACACACACACACACACACACTCATAAAGACTGTGTCTCAGACTAATGGGCGTCATGCCAACGCCTCATCGTGAGCCTCAGTGGTAGAACTCACCTGTGAAATGCTCGGTGAACTCCTGCTCCAGCTTGGTGGCTCTGTCGAAGGTTTTCCTGCCCTGCTCCTCCGTCAGACGCTTGTTCATCTCCCTGCAGGAGGAAACGTGCCATCAGGACAAACGTCACCCTCACTCACGTCTTTTTATTTTAATGTTAACGATCGAAGGTTCGGGACTGAATCCGACTGGGACAGTGTTACATGGAGTAAGTCGCCTCGCAGCCTGAAAATGAATGCTGCCTCCTTCGTGACCACATGACGTCTGATGTCATGAGGGGGAACGTTTCTGTTTTCTTTGGCGACTTTCACACATTTTAGGCAGAAACGAGATCCGCCCGTTACCTTCCACATAGTGTCTACTCTTCTCCTCAGGCTTTTTACAAATAACATGAACTGACGCCTCGACTCACATGATGTTCTCCACAGATTTGGGTTTGATGAAGATGGCGATGGGGTGGAGCTGAGCCAGCTGGAGTCTCTTGATGGCGTTTCCTGACACGTCCAGGATACAGTGTTTACCCTGAGGAGGAGGGAACAGCGTCAGTGTGAACGGACGTAAATTTATTTAATGAAGCAACGTCTCCAATTTACAGAGAAATATAAAAGTTAATATAAGTAAATATTAAATATTCAGCTTTGTATGAGCACAGAAAATACTACACGTTTTATTTTTTACTGTCCTGCTTTTATCTGATTTAATAACTTTTGTCCCGCTCTATACGACGGAGCATCAGGACACATCAATTAAATCTGAAATCGTTATGATAAAAAAGTTGAAAGAAAGAATAAAGTCATAATATTACAAGAAAAAAAAAGTTACATTTGAGAGAAGAATAGTATTAAAATTATTTTGTAAAATTACGACTTTATTCTCCTAATTTCAGATTTTTTTCCCTGAAAGTCCGACGTACTTTGCGGATTCAGATGAATAAAATAAAATGTGATGAACAAATAAGCGATGACGCGGGAACGTGTGGTGGGTCGGTACCTTCTCGGCCACCTCTCGGACCGACTGCACGCTGGTTCCGTACAGGTGGTTGTTGTACTGTCCCGCCTCGATGAACTTGTGGTCCTGGATGTCTTTCTCCATCTGCTCCCTGGACACCACGAAGTGATAATCTCTGCCGTCCACCTCGTAGTCCCGCTTCGGCCGGGTCGTGTCTGCGGGGGAGGGGGGAGAACGTTAACGTCTTCAATCTATATCAGAGTCCTGATCAAACACTGAATCCTTTCTGGATGTGAAGCGACTTACGAGGGACGCAGGATCCGAACTTGTCGGGGAACTCGGAGATCAGGTCGTCGTTGATCCGATCCTTCATGGGGCCGAGGATGATGACGGGACGGGTGTAGTTCACTGTCAGAGAGGATCAGACTCTTATTTAATACGGTTACCGGGGTTACAGGGACTGATCATAACCTGCTCCGACGTCACATGGAGCTTCCTGTTTGAACACGTGAACCTCCAGCTGCTGAAACCACAGAGGGACGTCAATACACTGCTGAAGGTTTGTGAACATTTTATTTCTTTAACTGATTTTTATTTTATTGTACGTCATTTATTAAAGGTTCTGTAAACAAGATTTCATACAATAATATATGCAAAGATATAGTGGAGTAATGGCGTCCTGAGCAGCGAACGAAGCCACACCCCCTCTGTGTGTGATGTAATCTGAGGTCTTTGTTTTGGTATCTGGTCTGGCTCCGCCCACAGGTGTGATGTCACAGTGCAGTATGCAGCGTTCAGGTGAAAGTGACTTTCCAGAATTTCCTGCACTGAAGAAGAAACCACGTTTTCATGTCCTGGTCCGCTGGAGTCTTTCCAGCTCCATCAGTGTCATTCGTGTGGCTGGTTCCAGTGGATCGGTTCAATGTGTCAGTAGCTTGATGGTTCATGATGTCACATGTCTGTTTTCATTAGTGACAGCTACAGTCGACATGCTAACGTTAGCTACCTCGCCATTAAAGATATTAGAAATGCGTTTGGCTAATGTTGGCTTACTGTTAGCATTGCTGCGGAGCATATCACCAGGGAGCATTTGTTTTGGTCTGATCAGCTGGTGTCGCAGTGCGACATCTAGTGGCAGTGAAGATGGTTTACAGAACCTTTAATGTTAATTGAGTTGGACATTTTTTTATTCTATTTTTATTCATTTTTAATGACTTTTTCTTGTTCATGTTTTATACCCTCAGTCTGTTCACTCAAACACACTCAGTGATGTAAAACCTTCTGCGCTTTGTCTTTGTCAGTGAAAAACAAATCTGAATCAACCTTTAAAAAAAAATAGAGTTTTACCTGAAAACACAAACACATCATCAGCAGCAACAACAACAACAACAACAACAACAACAACAACAACAACAACAACAACAACAACACTGAATCCAAGTGTTTTACCTTCCTGCTGAACGACGGGTTCATACGACAAAACATACTCCTCCTGTCCACCTGGAAACACACACACACACACACACACACACACACACACACACACAGTCAGAGTGTTTCACAGGAGCATTAACAGAAGTTGAACTGATGAAGGATGGAGGCTGAGAGGAGGGGGGGGGGGGGGGGGGGGAGACGTGAGGTTAGTGAATGTGATGGGCGGACATGTTGGTTTCTTCTCATTCAGTCATGTGATCATCAGTCACTGTCCTGGAGCTGGATTCACCGTCTGCCTGAATGAAAACCCTCCGACCTCGTGAAGAATACAAACATTAACTGTTTCGTCTGAACTGAACAAACTGATTCTCACTCAGCGGATCAGTTTTTACTTCAGTGGAAACAAGCGAGACGTGAACGTGTCCGCAGAGAGACGCTCCATCAGCCGTCACGTCCTCACGATGCTGCGTTCACGGTCCGCTCAGATTATTGTTCATCTTATATTTGCTGTTGCACTTTCACACACTTTCCTGCGTGTGTCCAGTCAGATATCAGCTCAGACACATTTTATATTTCTAAAAGCAAATCAACACCTTCCTTTTTACTCTGGCTTTTAATTGAATTTTATTTATTTATATTTCTATTTATTTACATATTTGAAGCTGTTTTACTGGTTCGTCCTTTTTTTTCTATTCTATTCTATTATTCTATTTTCTGGACTGTTTTCTTTTAATAACCTACTTTTATTTCTGGTAATTTATTTTATTTCTACTTTTACTTCTGGTTCTATTCTCTTCCAAACAGCTCCTCTCTTTTAGCATTTTATTTTTACTCTTTAATATTTTGTCTCATCTTTACTTGGTTTTTAAAATCCTCCCTTTTCTCTTTAATACGTCTCGTCTGTTTTAGTATTTCATCATTTTTTCATCATCTTTATTTTCGTGTCTTCAGCATTTCCTCACTTCCTGTCGTTATTGTCTCGTATATATTGTTAATTACTTAGTCATTTATTGTTCTGTGTGTAATATATGTGTGTTCAATTCTTTTATTCTGTAAAGCTCATTGTTTGTATGAAAAGTGCTTAACAAATAAAGTCTGATTGATTGATCGATTGATTGATTGAGTCGTCTCACAGGAACAAAAACTTCGACTTTTTCAGCTGTTTCTGTAAACGTTGTGTATGACAGAAACTTTGTGGACTTTGCTGAGGGATTTACCCACAATTCATAGTGCTGTAACGTTTACATTAAAGCAGGAAGTAGAAGTAGCAGCCGAGGTCGTGATTTTAAAAAGACGTGATGATGATGAGTCGTCTCTCTGCTGCTGCTTCACATCCGAGTAAAAACTGATGCATGAGTTGGGCAATGATCAGCACACACACGCACACGCACACGCACACACACACACACACACAGTCCATGCAGCAGTCAGATGCTCCTGCTGTCAGGCTGCGTTCAGGAGCGTTAGCAGGGGGTAAACTGTGTGTTTGAGGTCATGCTGTTATCAGCCAATCAGCAGCTTGTGCTGGTTAATGTGATCAGTGAGGGAGTTAGCAGTTAGCAGTTAGCTTCCTGTGAGTCATGGGGCGTAGCAGGCAGCGTCGACGGCAGAGTGTCACACTTACGGTAGCTACTCTCACTATCGCTGGCGTTAGAGGTCACGTGTTCTGGAATCAAAACACAGGACACACCGGGTCAGCTGGGAACACCACTTTCCCATAATGCTTTGCCCATGATCGAACAGAGGACTCGAGGTGTTCAGGTCCAGCAGCAGCGACAAAAACGTTCAGCAACAGAATAAACTTTCACTGTTTTCACACAGATGTTCCAGACTTCAAACCATCATTTAATCGTCCGTCTTTCTGCCGGATCACCAGCAGGTCCTCGTGCTCCTGCGTCCCCGAGGACACGGACCAACCACACCTGAGATATCTGATAATCTGCTATATTTATATTATTATCTCACAAACGGCCCGATGTCTGATGTCACATGTAAAACTGACAGAAAATGAATCCATTTGATTCATTGAGGAACTTTCTGTGAATATTTTCTTTCTCTTCTGGAAACTGAGAAAACTTTTAACAAACACAAAGTAAAACTTAAGACGTAGTTTTAGAGTCACATCAAGGAAAAAAAATTACATCTGAAATCACAAGAATAAAGTCGTGATATTACGAGAATTAAAAATGTAAAATCTGAGAGATAAAATCATAATTTTTAGGAATATCACATCAACTGTGGCCCTAACGCTCCGTCGTCAGGAGCATGATCAGTTAGAAATCGCACCATGTGATCACAAGTCAATAATCAATAATATTGAATAATCACTGAGCCCCACAGAGAGAAATGTGCTGAACCGTTCAAACAAGACACAAGTTTCATACAGAGTCAAAGCGTTCGATATGTTCTGGACACCTCGCTCCTCGTCACCGTGTCCAGGCATTTTACAGCAGCGGTGACGCTTCCTGTCTGTTTCTTTTTCCTCATCTATGTATCATTTTGTATTTTTACATTTATAAAAAACAATAATAGAAAAGATTTGTGCTAAAATGTTCCTTAAATATAAATCAGAAAATACCTGCGAGCCGACTTTTCAAAATAAATTCACTTTCATTCAAACTTAAAAATATTGGTTCCACTTTACAATCCGACTATAAAGGACCTTTGAATGGTTTATAACGAGTTAATTAAGCAGCTTGTTAACACTATAAATCCTTTATAAGGTCGTCTGATTGTAAAGTGTCTCACTTTGTTCAGACTGATGAAAATGAGGCCGTGACTCACTTTAACTGTCGTGAACAACCTGTAAACGATTTCTTTATTATATCATTTAAAATATCTACACACTGTGTCTGAGGTCCACTGATCAATCACCTGATCAATAACCTCACAGTTACTGATTTCTGATCTGAGCTCCATGAACTCAGAGTCTGTTACCTCCAGGAAGTGACACAGATCTGAGGGCGGATCCAGGTGTGATGGTGTACCTGAGGTGGGGGAGGAGCTAGTGAACGTGTGGTGACAGAGTGAGGAGATGGAGATCTGGTCTGGAGGATCCTCGATGGGTGGGTTGGGGGGGTGAGGGGGAGGAAGGTGGAGGGAGGGGAGGGGTTACCTGTCCACCAGGAACCTGCAGCTCAGCCTCTGATTTTACTTTAAGAACGTGATGATTCTTCTTCTCTAAAGCTTTTATTCCATTTTATTTTATTTCTATTTCCAGCGTTAAACGAGGCCTTTAAACTCTGAAGAACATGTAACTGCTCCTCTCATCATTTCGTCTTTATTTTGATTCTTGAAATGTATTTTTACTGTATTTATATAAGTAATCGAAACAGAACCGATCAGCTGATTCTTTCAGTTACAGTTGAATAAACATTTAAATCTGGTTCAAACTCTATTATCTTATACAGAGACAAGAAAACACCAGTTTATAACCCACAGTATATATGATATATACTGTATGTCCCTATACCAAGAGTGATGTTGTGATGTCACACACACACACACACACACACACACACACACACACACACATATATATGTCCTCTGGATATATAAAGATATAAGTTTATAACTTATATGAAATGTCCATGGTAAAATCTGTATATGAATATTTCTCAAAAATGTAAAAATTATGTAAAAATGATAAAACTAATAATTATATATTTAATTTTTTATGCACCTTTGTTAAAACATGTTAAAAAATGTATGTTTATAAATATGTATCTAGTTTCTCATTAGTTGTACTGTTTATAGTATCAACATATATATATAAATATACAGATATATATTTATGTAACATGTCTACAATATAAACATACATACATAAATGTATATATGTGTGTAAGTTAGATAACATGTCAATATATGAAACTTTTCCAATAACAGGTTTCATAAATAATTTTTACATACATGACATTAGTGTATGGGACGTTAGGAACGGTCAACACTGATTTGTTTCATTTTAACATTAAAGAATAAGATGAAGATTAAATTAAATTAAAGATGTGACTGAATATTAATATTTTTTATTTAAATCGCGACTAAATCTACATGTTTTTATTTTTGCAGACGTCCACATAGAATTTTATTGTTTGGCTGTTGGCGGCTCCTGGTGGAGACCCGGAGACTGACAGGAGGGTTTTGTGTCGGGGGGGTGGGGGGGGTGAGGGGGGGGGACACACACTTACTGTGGCCTTTGGGGAGCATGTCGTCGCTGATGTCCTGCGGTCAGCGGAGCCGAGCGAACAACGAGGAGGAAACAACCACAGAGACACAGAGTTACTGAGTTACAGCGACAGACAGAGAGAGCAGAGGGAACGCAGCCGGTCAGCAGGGCGGCAGGGCGGCCATCTTGGCTCCGGGGAGGGGAGGGGAGGGGAGGAGGAGGAGGGGCGGGAGGATCAAATGTTCTGCCCTCACAGCTGAGAAGTTTTCAGCAGTTTACATCAGTTTGGTGGTGATACTACATTGTTTCAGCCAGACCCTGTTGCCGTGACAACCGGTGCGTTTTGCAGCACGCCGCCACCAGCTGACCTCTCTTCCTGTCGCCAACCAGACCCCCCCCCCCACCGCGCTGGTACTTACGGTCGACATCACTGGTCTCCTGCTCGCTCGCCTCTTTGCTCTTGTAGAACGGAAACTTTCGGGAAAAGAGGTTCTTTTTACGCTTGTCATTGAGAGACTGCTGAGGAGGAAGAGGAGGAAGAGGAGGAGGAGGAGGAGGAGGAGGAGGAGGGGTGATGGAATAAAAAAAAAAAAAGAGGAGGAAGAAGAGGGGGAGATGGAGGAGTCTGACGTCGGTTTGGACAGAATGAGAAGCTTCGGTCTGAGTCTGTGATCGGCTCAGTGTCGGCAGCCGGATTCAAACCGAAACAGCAACTGAACTGAACATAAATATAAATAAATCAAAAAACAAAATATAACATTAGAGCTACAGACAAATATTGTTTTATACATCTTCCTCATTGCCTCGTTTTTTAAAATATAGTAATAAGTATTTTTGTGATCCGGGATTTAAGATCAATTAATCTAAATATATTGTTCAAGGTTCGTTTACTCATCTTCACGTGTCCGTTCACCGGAGCCTGAACCACAGAATCAGACGTCTGCTCAACAGGTTTGTTGTTTTTAACTATATTTTCTAGCATGTGCACAGACTGACCCTACACGTCCCTGCTGTTGTTTGAGAGACTGACTTTTACAGAGTGACAGTGAAGGCAGCAGACGTCCAACAGGAGCAGGTGAGAGAGACTGAACATGCAGGTGACACATGCAGACGACGCGGCAGCTACAGGCTGTTTCTGATCAGCTGATTCTGTTTTTTGTTTTTTTCTTGATGTTTGTATTAATGATAATAAAGTGTAAAAATATGATTGAAATGTTGTTGGAACCTGAAGCCTCTCCACTTCTCAGTATCTATTCTCTGGAGATTGTATGTGACTCACAGCCGGAGTTAAACACGTCATTTATTATATATTTATCTAGTAATTTATTCATATATTTCACTCCTTTTGTAAATTTAAGACTTTAACCAAACGATTCATCCACATGATTAAAGGTGTGTTTTCACAAGGGATGTGAAGAATTTCAAACATCTGATGTCTTCACACTGCGGCTCCAGGACGAGGGGAGCTGAGGTGTTTCTGCTAATGCTGATATAAAACACTTGGGGAACAAATTCTATATATTTAAAGATAATGTCACGTATTTATTTGATCAGTTCAGATCAATCAGCAAATGTTTTACACTGTTATTTATCATTATTATTATTATTATATTATTATTAGGAGTGTGTTAATGTCTCAGTGCAGAGAGAACTGTCACTCATCTGCTGCAGAGCCTCGTTCAAGGAAGCGGGTTCATGGAGTTACACAGTCAGAGAGGATTGTGGGATATCTTCTGGGTTATCAAAAAAAAAAAGAAGAAATGAATAAAAAAAAATCAAGTTTAAATGATTCAAAACCTGTTTCTGATGTGAACTTTAATATATTCAGTTCAAAGAAAAACTTAAAGCTGCACTGTTCAGGTCTTTGGCCACAGAATTATTCACACACCTCACAAACTAGCTGCGGCTAACCTGTTAGCAAACTAGCCACGACTCAACATGATGAATCTGAGGCCGCGGCCCAAACATCCTGAAGGACCTGAAGTATCTGAGCAGCAGCCGTGATGAGAGCTGAGGTAAAGAGCTTCACTGCTTCCTATCTGATCTCCTTTAGCAGAGAAACTGCCGTCCCACAATTCCTTGCTGCAGCAACATTTAAAGCGACGCAGGATTGTAGTTTAACTACGGCAGACCGTGATAAATATAGAAACAACAGAGCAGCTAAATGTTGTTTCAAAACCGCTCGCTGCACTAAAACATGAATTTTCTCCACAACTGTATAAAAACTGTATGAAACCTCCTTCTGTCTGAACTCAGCTGCTAATTTTAATTTGATGATTATTTTCATGGATCAAATCTTTCGACTGGTGGATTTCTTTCGTGTTATCTTTTCTAGTTTCAGTCCTGTTTGTGTTTGAGGTTAAAGGAGGATTTATAAATAAAGTTGGTTTAAAAATAAACATGTGCAGTCAGATTCTTCTCCTCAGTCCTGATGAATTCTCCTTCACATCTTTGAGGAGACGAGGTCAGAGAGGTTATTGATTATTATTATTATCTCTGTGTTTGGTCTCCACCAGCTGCTCTTTGTTCTGACACTGTCATGAAACCAAAACTAGCAGCTAAAAGAGGCTGAAAAAAGCTGCGTACGGCTGCAGAGTCTCTGTGAACCCAGAGCCAGCACGAGGTCACATGATCCACTGATCAGAGTATTGATCAGTGCAGCTTTAAGTGTGACTCTCCCTCTGACGTCTTCCCTGAGCTGCTGGTCGACACTTTAGTGAAGCAGGGAGCTGGAGACACGATTTTTTGACAAGCAGTGGAGTGGAGCACACATAGATCACATGCTGCACTTCAGCAGGGAGGGGGGGGGGGGGGGCGTGACGGAGGAGGAGGAGAAAGGTGTGTGTGAGCAGCAGACAGTCAGACATCAATGTCAAGCGTTCTGCTCTGAATGGCGTTCTTCCCGTGTGTTAGAGGGCGGGTTGGCGGGCGGCGCTGGGGCGAGGCGTTTTGGCGGCACGTGTTAAAACAACACACGGTTTTTAAAGGTGTTGGAGGGGGGAGGAGGGGGGGGGCTGCTGCGTTTTGGCTGCTCAGACGTTTGAGTGGTGAAGAAGAAAAAACGCATCAAAGATCGACAACATGCTGTTAACTGCTGTAAACATTAGTCACACGCATTAGTAGGTGGAGATCAGGTGGCAGCGGCTCAAACACACAGCTCACCTGTACACAGGTGAGACTCATAAACACACAGCTCACCTGTGCACAGGTGAGACTCATAAACACACAGCTCACCTGTACACAGGTGAGACTCAAACACACAGCTCACCTGTGCACAGGTGAGACTCATAAACACAGAGAGACTACACATGAATGTAGAACTATGACATCACTACAGGTAACTACAGCTGTGACATCACTACAGTAAACTATCACATCATTACAGGTAACTACAGTTGTGACATCACTACAGCAAACTATGACATCACTACAGGTACCTACAGCTGTGACATCACCACAGGTAGCTGAGAACACTCACCCCTCTGTCTCGAGACTTGGCGTTGAACTTCACCGTCTTTAATCTCGCTCTCTCCTTCTTCTCAACCCTGCGGTCAAAGGGACAGAAGGTCAAAGGTCAAGCAGAGGTCATGTTCATGCAGACCGTTCTCAGTTTGACCTCATGTGACCTTTGGTTTGGCACTTGGTTGGTTGGGTATTTATTTGTCTTTCAAATGTGAGTCCAACATAAAAATCAAAAGGCCACTGATGCATCATGGGGGATGTAGTTTACGCAGGTAAAATAATACATTGTCCAAACAACGCTACTGTGTTTTCTTTTTGATTTCTTTTCTTTCTTTTTGAAGTCGACCTACATTAACAACCTTCACACAAGTAAACAAAACACTAGTTCACCAAACTAACTCTGCTAGATGAGCAAATCATAAACCACGTCTGTAACACATGAACACACAGGTCACATGACTCTGTGTGTGTGTGTGTGTGTGTGTGTGTTACTGACCGTCTCTTGCTGGGGATGACCCCCACCTCCTCCACCTCCCCCTGTGCCGTCAGCTGTCTGGCCTGCCACCACTCGTCGTCGGAGGCGTTCACCACATGGAGGATGTCTCCGAACTTGAAGTTGAGTCCCTGACTGGGCAGACCTGAGTCTCTGGTCTTATCGTAGTCGAACAGAGCTCTGCACCACACACGCACGCACGCACGCACGCACGCACGCGCACGCACACGCACACGTCATTAATATTATAATAATAATACAATATCATTAAGAAGGTTTCATAAACTCATCTCTTTTTATTTCAGACTGGACTCATTTATTTTACATCATGAATTTTCTGAATCCACGTTAAGACCATGAGGAAAAAAAAAAGGCTTGGAAGTGAGTTTTTATTTATTTATTTATATAATTTTTATAATTTATTGATTCATTTTTACCGGATTCATTATATAAAATCATACAAAAAATATTTGAGAATTTTTTTATCATTAAAAAATTAATCAGTGAAACATCAGTTTTTAATTCATATAATCACATTTAAAATTCATTTAAATTATAATAATACTAAAAAAGTAAGTAAGTAAGTAACTGACTTTTCTAATTTTTCCTGCAGCTCAGTGAAAAATCTTTTCTTGGCTGTATTTTTTAATTAATATTAATTAATTAATTAATTAAAAATACAGCCAAGAAAATTTAAATTAAAAAATAATAATGCATTAATTCAATATTTTGCATAATTTTGAAATTAACTTAATTTGATCAATCATATTATCGATACATTTCAATTACAAAAAACTAAACAAAAAAGCTTTTGTTTGTTTGGTTACCATGTGCTAGTTTAACAGTTAAAAATGTACAATTAAATTAATAAAAAAAAGTGGTTTGCTGTTGTGGTGCTGAATAAGACATTAATAATAAAACTACAATAAATACATAAATAATAAAACAGTAATAGTAATAATCATTTGATGATAATAATAATTCAGCATTAATTTGAATGTATTCATGATGTGTTTGAATTTCTTAAGTCTTCTCTTTATTTTTCTTCTTATTGCTCTTATTTTGAAGTTCCACAGATCAGCGTCTCCCAGGTAACCATTACCTCACCTGACGTATAGCGACCTCTTCTGACTCGTCCTCAGAGATCCAGATCCAGAACTGATGCTGCTGTTCATCATCTGCTCTCTCAGGTCGTGGATCTTCGCCTCGAAGCGACTGTACTCTGAACGAGACACAACGTTCAGTCTTCACTCGTTTCAACGACAAACAACAAACAGGAAGTGGAACTTTTTCTATGTGGCTCATTATTTATGTTCGTGCAGACACAAAGTCTCTGGGGCCAGTTGCACAAAACACCTTAAGTCTTCTCCTCAAGGTTTCCTTTTCTCCTTATCTTAGTCTTGAACTTAAGGAATCACTTAAAGTCAGTCAAACTGTTGCAGCGAAGACCTTAGAGACCAAAGCTCACCGTGGTGAAGTTCTCGTCAAAACAGTAGAATTTCACTGCTGTAAACTACTTTTTCCCTTAACTAAAGAAACCTTTTAAGAGATTCTAACTCCCTCAGCTGAGGAGAAATTAAATCTTAAGTGCCAAGTGCAATACTTAAGTAGAAAACTTAAGGTGTTTTGTGCAACTGTTGTTGGCACAGAATCTCTTAAAAGGTTTCCTTAGTTAAAGAAAAAAGTTGAGGCATTTGCAGCAGTGAAAGAGATTTTACAGCAGTAAAATTCTACTGTTTCCATGGAGACTGTTGATTTGTAGTCAATAGGAACAATCTTCTTAATTAATCACCATAAACTCAGAAGTCAGAGGTCCCTTTAGTCTTTTCCCTTAGTTTGGTCTCTAAGGTGTTTTGAGAAACAGTTGAACTGACTTTAAGTGATTTCTTAAGTGTGAGACTAAGAACAGGAGAAAACCTTAAAAGAACATTTTAAGGAAACCTTAACTCAGACTTTAAGAAGAAAACATAACTTCAGGTGTTTTGTGTATTCTCTGGTTTCTCTGGATATTTCATCATGACTGTGACTTTGTGGTTGTGATAATTAAAGCAGCTTCAGTGGCTGAATCATGATTAGAAGAAAAGACTATTGGTCATGTGACTGGTGCTGCAGGTGTGTCCAGGTGTCTCACCCTCTGGTCTGTAGTGGGCGATGATGGTCACGGTCTGCCCCGCGTTCTTCAGGGCGGCGGCGGCCTGTTCGTGGGTGGCGTTTCGTAGGTCCACCCCGTTCACCTGAAGCACCAACACACAACACGACAGTGTTCGACACAGCGAAAAAAAAGAAGACAAGACCAGGTGACCTCCACCTTCACCACCTCAGTGTTTTTAGACGATGGGAACCAATCCTGTCAACTCGTGAGAGAGAGTTAGCATTAGCACAACCGCTAACTGTGTCAGCCACTGCTAGTTATGAGCTAACAAACAACATAAAGAAATAAAAGATGCTAACGGTTCTGATCTGTCTGCTAGTCTCTGGTTCTGGTCTCAGACTCCTCCTCTGAGTCTGGGTCTGACTGAGGCTCAAACATGTGGCTCAGTCTCTCTGATGTTTCCTCCTCTCACCATCTTGATGCTCTCTGCTCTTTCACCTGTCCACCTGGAGCCAGCAGGTGGTGGGCGGGGCTAAAGGCCTGATCCAGATTACTCAACCAGGAAGTGAGAGGAGATGAAAACATGTGAAACTAAATATGAATCACAGCAGAGGATTTTTAGAGTACATTTGTGAGTGTGTGTGCGTGTGTGCGTGTGTGTGTGTGTACGCACTGAGACGAGTCTGTCTCCTTTCCTCAGCTCTCCACAGAGGTCGGCTGGTCCTCCCGCGAGGATGAAGGAGATGAAGATCCCCTCTCCGTCCTCCCCGCCCACGATGTTGAAGCCCAGTCCCGTCGCTCCTCTGTGCAGCACCACCTTCCTGGGCTCCCTGCGGGACCACACAGCAGACAGCAGCTGTCAATCACCCTGAGGTCACGTGACCACACACGGACAGAGAAGATGGTGACTGGCTCAGGTGAACAAAGTTACTCTGTTGAAACTCTTTCTGTTCTGAGTTGAACAAACTCCATCAGCTGAGTCACAGCACAGACCCTCCTGGTTCAATACCACTCTGACACAAGTGAAAGGATTTAAGTACTGGATGTTAAAAATACTGAAGGATTCATAAGTACATTTTGATGTATTGTTCTACATTTACAGAACCTACTGAACAACCTACTGACTGACTGACTGAAGAACCTGGAGAATAAAAGGACTGTTGACATGGACATGAAAACACAACTGAATCAACAAAAGGAGCCACTGCTGTTTTCATATTTCTGATTGTTTTCAGTCAGTGATGAAGTCTGGTCGTGGTAAACTCAGCAAACATTTCAGACTAAATGAATCTTTATTTCTAAAGCTTCAAACACAGACTTCAGATCAGACTGAGTCACAGTCTGTGTGAAGAATCTTCTGCCCCATCTTTATCTCACGTCTCCGTCGTCAGGACACTGACAGGGTCAAACATGGCCGACAGTGGAGGAGTCGGCTGTGATTGGTTTTCCTCCTGTGATGAACGCAGTGTGTGGTTGATCACATTTTCAAAATAAAAATGAAATCCATTCCTCTGACTAAAAGCTCTGCTTCAAAGTAAGAGTCCTTCATAGAAATGTAGTAGGAGTCAAAATTCAGATGTTTACAAAATAAATTAAACTCAAGTAAAAGTACTTTGTTACTCCTGCTTGATGCAGCTCAGTGACCAGAGAGTAAAACCTGAGGGGTGATGGTGTTTGTGTGTATTTGCAGAGTTGAACCAGTAGAGGGCAGAACATCTGTGTCCACAGCTTTTATAATAATCCCTCCTTACAGATTCACTGTAACTGAATCCAACACAAATGAATCTGAGGAGACACAATGACTCCTGCTGCTGACGGAGCCGGACTCGTCTCTCAGGCTCAGGGGATAAAGATGGCCGCCTCATGTCAACGACACCTGAACTCTTCAGATTTAACAACAGATTAAAAACAGTGTTGGTCTGATTTCAGTGGTTTGATGGTGTCAGCTGTTTGTGCAAAACTTTAAACTTTATTCAGCTGAAAAATATTTAGGAATATAAAATATTTACATTTATTTATTCTATATTTCTATTCAATGTAAAAAGTTACAATAAATTAATAGGATAAAAAGGATAAATCAATAAAGGATGAATTACTATTTTCTTTTTACAGGGTATTTTATATAAAAGTCATTTTATTTTATATGATGCATTTGTATATATTTGAGTTATTTTTCTTATTTCAACTTAAATAGATTTACTTGTTTTGTAACTAAAAATGAATAATGTTATTTACACCAATTTAATTACAAAAATAATCTTTTAACCACTAAATGTCTAGTGAATCACATGTGCTGTCACAATGTCACAAGGTTTGTTTATATTATGTATTTAAAGCAAAGGATTTATAGTTGAACTCCCTGTTTAAAACTCAAACTCTTATTATTAAGAAGTGTCAGTGTGATGTTTTTGTCCTCACCGGGTGACATCGTCGTCTCCCAGCATGCTCTTCGGGGTCGGGGAGTAGCGTCCCGAGGATGCTGGCGGGGGCAGGGTCTGACCGAGGAAGTTGGGGGGGCTGATATGGTTCTCCATGTGCTGGGAGTACGCTGAAATACACACACACACACACACACACACACACACACACACACACACACACACACACACACACACACACACACACACACACACACAGAGGCGTCAGAAAACTAAAACCACTTCCTGTGTCCATGAAGAAGAAAAAAACAAGTTCAAATGAAACACATCAGAAACACGTTCACCTCCTTCTTCCTGACACTTTCTCTCCGTCTGATCGCTCACCTGCTCAGACCCTCCTCCACACTCACCTGTCGGGCTCCTGTTACCGTGTGATTGGACGAGGCCGGGAGTCGTAGAGGGGGGGTGTAAACTAAACCGGTGAGTGAGAAACACTAAACACGGGTGTGATCACAAACTGATCATGAGCCTCGACTGCAGCTGAAGAAAACATGTAAACAGGCAAAACACAAACATTCAGAAACATCGTCATCAGTTTGACCTATGAGCTGCAGATACAGGTGTTGTGAGTATCTGCAGCACACACGTTGTCAAACTGAAGTTGTTTGTATTTTGTCTGTTTACATGTGTTTTCTTCAGCTGCAGTGTGTTGAGCTCTCAGGGGTTTTCTTCTTCAACCACTGTATCAGATGTTTTACTGACTGTTTAGATAACACCTGGAAACTTGCCATTGTTGTTATTATCATTATTAGTAGTTTTACTTTGTATTTGATGATATTTTCTTCCTCCCTTTTAATTTACATCATTGTTTTACATCATATTGTCATCGTAAGACCACCGTACTTTGTGGAATCTGCCGTATCTGGTAACATGAGATTTATTTTTCATTTCTACAGCTGCAGTCGTTAGACGTCCATGTGTAGTGTGATTATAGATCAGCTCTAGCTTCTATATTAATACTGTGAAAGTATCAAAGCCTCAGTCCACAGAGAAATGCACACAGCCTGTATTCAGAAACTGAGCCTTAAAACCAGCCGTCAGGACTTCTGGAACTTTGTGATGTCACAACAAAGCAGTCACCAAGCCCCGCCCACCTGGACCCACCATCCAAACCTTGCAGGATTTGGTTTCTCTCAGTGTTTTTGCCTGAAATCTGCTTTATTTTTATTGGATCGCTCAGAAAACAGTCAGCCAATCAGAAGAGAGGCTCAGAGCCTCCTCTCTTCTGATTGGCTCACTGACCTGTTGTTACTAGAGCTCCAGAGAGAAGCCTGAGAGAGGACATGTAAAACTACACTGAGATGGTTTTTATATCTTCTGATGGATCAACACTTCAAATAAAACACAGAAGAAGAAGAAACATGGAGCTTTAATGATCTGATCCGATCTGTCCAACTGGTTGACATGGTGACTGGAGCAGGGGATGATGGGACGGCTGGCTGCATCATCACAACAATGACTTCATCTCTTCTCGTTGCGACGGTGGAGTGTGAGCGAACTGAACAGAATGATTTCTTATTCATTAGCTGTGGCTCAGATCTTTGCTGTCCACTGTGGCAGGACATCATTATACATAATGCCCCCCCCCCCAGTGTTAAGTGTACTGCAGTGTTGCTGTGTGGATTAGACTACAGTGACAGCAGCTGAAGCTTGTGATGCAGCTCGATGCTCGCTGATTGGATTTGCTGCTCGTCCTTCACGCGTCTCAACATCAGGGGGGGTGGGGGGGTGAGCAGAGGGGGGTTAGATAACAAAGGTTACAAGGAGGGGTGGAGGAAGAGGAGGGGGGGGGGGTCTATGATAACATGTAGGGGTTGAAGCTGAGGGGGTCTTTAGAGAAGAAGGGGTCGATGGTTGACTGTGGATGTTGCTATAGTGACGACGTCATGGTGACAAGATAACAGTTAGCACGGTATTTAGACGACTTGTTCGCTCCGTGCCGCTCAGAGTTGTAAAGCAGGAAGTGGACCAACACAACAACAGGACGATGCTGTCTTCTAGGCCACGCCCACACCACTGCGTTTTCAAATGAATGTGTGAGCACAGGAAACAGGAAGTAGCAAAGACAACAAGGTCAGTAACTCTGTCATTCATCATCATGTTGTATTCACCACTGGTAGTCCAGGCTGATGACAGCCAATCAGGAGAGACCGTGGGTGTGACCTCATCGTTTACAAAGGTCTCAGTTACTGTCCCAACTACAACAAAACCCGGGAGCTTTCAAAATAAAATACAACCCCAGACTTTTCAAAATAAAAGACAACCCCAGACTTTTCAAAATAAAATAAGTCCAGCAGAGTTTCTGAAACTCTCTGGAGTTGTGTTGACGTCAGGAGGAAACAGCGTGGACGGAGCCTAAAAAAGACGTTTCCACCTGATTATTTTACCTGCAAACTGAAGTATTTCAATACAGATATACTGATATTCAAAGACAGAATTCAGTATTGATCTGCAACGTGAAGGTATGATGTACGGTCATTTGTCTCCATCATCTTCAGATTGTCTCCGCTCCGACTGATCAATCACTTGATGGTGTCCTGGTCACACCTGGTTCAGTCTGTCCTTCACTGTCTCCACAGTGATCCAGAGTTCGTGCTCTGAATGGGAGTCCTGCCTCGTCTCGACTTTGAAACGTGTTGTATGATGAATGACACACACACATACACACACACACACACACACACACACACACACACACACACACACAAACACACACACACACACACGCACACACACACTGCGGTCCCTGCTGGATTCAACACTAAGTCAGGGTCAGAGTCAGCTGGGCCACATCTGAACCAGGACCTGCTAATCCGGTTTGTGTGGCGTTATAAGACTTCATGTCCCGAGTGAGGAAGACGCTCGGAGAGGACGAACTGATGAAGACTCTCTCAGGGTTTGAGTTACACCATGTTCAGACTCACATCATGAGTGAGGTCTTTCTGTTGCTCAGACTGGACTTTAGTGACACACCCACAGGAAACCAGCTCCTCACAGATCATTAAAGCTCCATATTTTCTTCTTATTTTCATTTTATTTGAAGTGTTGATCCAAAATAATAGTTTCACATCTCCTCTCTCAGGCTTCTCTCCGGAGCTCTAGTAACAACAGGTCAGTGAGCCAATCAGAAGAGAGGAGGCTCTGAGCCTCTCTTCTGATTGGTGGGCGGGGCTTGGTGACTGCTTTGTTGTGACATCACAAAGTTCCAGAAGTCCTGACGGCTGGTTTTAAGGCTCAGTTTCTGAATACAGGCTGTGTGCATGTCTCCTATAAGGGGATATATTATTATCACTTATATACGTCCTCTGGATATATGAAGATATAAGTATAACATATGAAATATGCATAGTAAAATTTGTATATGTACATAAATCAAAAATATCTATGTGATGAATTTTTATCCTGTATAATACATTGCATCTATTAAAAACAACATACATTTAAAACTGTGATTATGTATGTTTTTTCTGATTCATTTCACATTAAATTTAAACATGTCTCTCCTATAATATAATAATAATAATAAAAATAGTATAATATATAACATGAACATCTATGTAACATATGTATATAATATAAGCATATATACATAGATAGTTTTACATAGAAGTTTCTAATAGGTTTTATATGTTTTTATTTTATATGTGCATATACGTCATATATGGAAATCCAATGTATGTACATGTATTACATTTGTGTATGGGTCATTCACTGTTAACTGAACTGACAGAAGTCTGTAGCATCTCTGTCAGTTCTCAGGACCTGAAGAACAGCGACATATGGAGGCTTTACGTGTTGTTAACCGGAGCTCGTGTTTCCTCCTCAACACTTAAACTGGAGAGTAAAACCTCTCACAGCTGATGGGAGGGACGCTGATGTTCCTGAGGGGGAGGAAAAGGAGGAAGTGGTCACTCACAGTTGGTGAGGTCGGGCGGGGCGAAGCTGTCGTTCATGAAGACACTGTTGGGTTTGGCCACTTTCAAGTAGACCACGTCAGGAGTGTTTTTCAAGGCAGTGACGGCGTGTTCATGGCTCACCTCCTCCAGGCAAGCACTGTTCACCTGGGGGGGGGGGTAAAGACCAGAAGGTAAAATCTAAAACTGCTCAGACATGAAATCGCCTCTGATAAAGTGGAGTTACGTGGAGTTTCTAAAGTCAGTGAGTAATCGTGTTAAATAATCCTGATTATGATTTTTGCCATATTCAGCAGCCCTGCTAACTCGTACCCTCAGCACTGGTTACTGATGTGTTCCCTGAGGTCTGAATTCAATCCAAGAAAACTATTTATTGTCAAATTAAATAAAACCAGCCACGAGCGTCGACCTTATTAACTCATTAACATTTTTAAAGAGGCTTAGGATCATAAAAAACCTTTTCAGACCAAGAGTCTCGTTGAAACAACCTCAGTGAAACAATGATAATCTTAGAAACCAGCAGCCTGAGACATAAACAGAAGAGTGAGTCCTCACAGCCAGCAGTTTGTCTCCGATCTGCAGCCTCCCGTCTTTATGTGCCGCTCCGCCTTCGATGATCTTGGTGACGTAGATGCTGTTGTCGCCCGGGATGTGCTGGTTCCCCACTCCGCCTGCTATACTGAAGCCGAGACCTGCAACACACCGGGACCAGGACCCAGAGTGAGGGGGCGGATCAGGAAGAGACAGAAACACGGTGCTGCCGCAATTTAACACAAATCAGGGCTCGAAGATGCACACAAACACATTTCAGGATGTTTCCGTGGAAACTGAGTCTTAGTTCTCGAGCCTGGGCTCTTGTCTGAATAATCATGAGGCCCTGAGGGATTTCACAGAAGACGTCCACGTCTCCATCAGGAGCTACAGCACCGACCTCCAGCTTCACGCCTCAGTTCACCTTCTGTCTGACTGGATGTTTAAACTGAACGGCGCTCTGTACACTTTCGTTACCTTTGGGTCCTTTCACCAGTTTGATCTCCATCACTTTCTCAGAGACGGGTTTCCTCCTGCGGACGTAGAGTCGCACCAGAGAGCCCGCCTCCTTCAGAGCCTCCACGGCTCGGCTGTGGGTCACGTCTCGAACGTCCACCTCGTTAACTCTCAGGATGACGTCGTTCACCCTGAAACACACACACACACACACATAAATATAAATAAAATAAATAAAATAATTTCTTATTTAAATAGGCATTAAAAACAGGAATTGTAAAAAGAATTTATAAATGAACGATTAATCATCAATAAATACTTAAGATTTAAAAGTGGATTTACAAAAACAGAATAAAACTCTCATTAAATAAAAAATTTATAAATACATGAATTAATTGATCAATAAATAATAAATACATTCCTGGATTCCCTCTTCCTTTTCCTAACTGCTTTTCCTACCTGTCATTAAAAACAGGAATTGTAAAACATTTAGCTTCTCCTGTTAGCCTCTCTGTGATATTCTAAAACCAGGCTAAACAATCCCATTTGGCCATGGGATGTAACAAGCTCTCTGATTGGTTGAAAAGTTAACCAGTGGGTTAGTTAGCAGAAAAGCTAAATGACAAAGGCAAATTGATTAGCTAATTGAGTAAAGCTAAAATGCCTTTTCAAATTAAATTAAATTCTATTATTTATTCATGAATTAATAAATGTATTTATATGTTTTTTTAATAAAGATTTCCCCACAGGCAGATTTTTATTTAACGAGAGTTTTATAATGTTTTTGTAGATCTATGTCTAAATCTTAAATATTTACTGACAGATTAATCGTTCATTTATAAATTCTTTTTAAAATCCCTATTTTTAAAAATATGAAATTAAGGAAATGTTTGATTGCTTTTCCTGTCACATTGCTGGTCCTCCATACGATGTAGAGTTACTTTTTATTAATTTTACATTAATCTTACTTTTGTGTTACACAATACCAATAATTTAGTGTGAACAGTAATTTTAATCCAGTAAAGCGGTGTGTGTGTTTATCCAGGTTTGGACATGTGTGTAACGTGTTTATTGTTCCTGACAGAAACAAAGCGAAGTGATTGGGAGGAAGTGGTTCGTCTGTTGGTTTCACTCTTCCTGCTCTAAACATGTTGTTTCGCTCTGACTCTATTTGTTTGGAACTGACCTGAACCTTCAGACACCTGAGACACTTCTAAAGCAACCTGAGAGCCCACCGCCCATCATCATCATCATCATCACCTGGATCAGGTGAGTCAGACTCTGGCTGATGCATTATGAATGAAGCAGTGAAAGGCAGTGGGACACTGCAGGGGGTTCTGGGTAAAAAGACACCGGCTTCAACAGCAGACTTTAAAAAAACTCCTCACACACAGTCCTGTAATAACTGACTGGAAAACAAACTGTGAACACAACACTGACACATCAGCAACTTGTTTATGCTAATGTTAGCTTGTTAGGTTAATGTTAGCTTGTTTAGGCTAACATGAGATTGTTAAGTTAACGTTAACTTGTTAAGGCTAACATTAGCTTTAAAATAAGCTTGTTTAGGTTAATGTTAGCTTGTTTAGGTTAACGTTAGTTTGTTTTTTGTGTCAATGTTAGCGTATTTAGGCTAACATTAGCTTGTTAAGGTTAACATTAGCTTTAAAATAAGCTTGTTTAGGTTAATGTTAGCTTGTTTAGGTTAACGTTAGTTTGTTTTTTGTGTCAATGTTAGCGTATTTAGGCTAACATTAGCTTGTTAAGGTTAACATTAGCTGTAAAATAAGCTTGTTTAGGTTAATGTTAGCTTGTTATGTTGACGTTAGCTGATTAGGTTAACATAGCGAGAGCTCATTACGTGAGCTGGGTGCTCACAACATTAGCAGCTACAGTCGTTACTGTTCAGTAAAACATAACACTGACTGACTGTCTCCATGTTACTCAGTGTAAACTACTGCTGTACACTGACTATATGGAGGTGTGTGTGTGTGTGTGTGTGTGTGTGTGTGGGGTATTTCAGTGTTATTGGTTCTGACTAACGAATATCCTGGTATTGTGACGTCTCCAGTCTAATCTGAGGGACTCCGCACTCTGTCACATAGTTGAGGACCAGGTCTTTAAGATCAATGTGTCCTCTCGTCCTCTGTGTGTGTGAGTTGTCCCACCTGAGACGTCCGTCCTGGGCGGCGGCTCCTCCAGGTATGACTTTGGTGATGAAGATGCTGGGGTCTTCACCGATGTGGGGGTTGTCTGTGCCGCCGGCGATGCTGAAGCCCAGCCCCGAGTTTCCCTGGCAACCAAAGACGTAGGATCAGTCTGATGTTAGTGGTGGAATAATCTTTTTCTCATGAACAGATGTATTTCTTGTTTCTTGTTTCTCTTGTTTTGACAGAAGAACAAAGAAAGAAAGTTTCTCTACATCTGCATCATATACAAACTTCTACATGTCGACATGTTTCTGTTTTTAGACTTTGGCGTCAGTGACGTTTAATACGTCAAAGACACAAAATATCAAGAATGTTTCTCTGAGTGAAGTGAACAGGCTACAGTAGATTCACATTTAAAGGACTCGTGTGGTTTTATTCTACATTATTATCATCAACAAATCCCAAGTTTCATTATTTAAAGTCTCAGTAATTTACTCAATCAGCTGATTAGCGTGGTTTTCAACAAACAAGCATTTGTTGGGACTATTTTCAGCAGCGGATTAATTCTACTTTTAATACACATTCTCAGGACTGGCTGACTTTATATGTTCCTGTAGTAAATACCAGTCTTGGTAGGACAGCCTTCAGATATCACGCCACATCTGTCTGGAATAATTATATATTATTATATTAATAATAATCAATTTTAATTATATATATAATCATATATATATATATATATATATATATATTTCTGAATCAACAACATAATTATTTCAGGATTCTAAGAAAGATTTTCTGAATTAACGAGATAATTCTGAGATAATTAAACTTTTCTCAGAGCTCAGATATGACTTCCTGATTAAATAAAGTATAAATGCCGTATTACATATGTATTTAGACGACAATGAAACTCGTGCTGGGTTACAGAATCTCACCAGATTTTAATACGCAACTGGTGAGATAATCCCCCCCCCCCACACACACACAATTAAACCACGTTCACACACGCACGTTAACATATGAAAAACACACGAGCCTACAGACAGACAGACACACAAGACAAGACAAGACAAGACAAGACAGACAGACAGACAGGCTGCAGCTCCTGTAGGACTCAGCTGGCTGAGCCTCTTCTTATTTACAGTACGCTGCACATGAAGGCGCTCAGCTGAATTAGGACGATGATAATAATAATAAAGATTTCACCACAGGCAGATTAAAGATTCAAACACAGCTGCATCACACTCTTCATCACGTCCTCAGCCTGAAGCATCTGGACACTTTCTATATTTAAAGTACAGTCTGTAGGTTTGGTAAAGACACCAGTTCGTCCTCAGAGTTTAAAAGAACATTGAAGTGAGTGGAGTGATGGACCGCAGCTCGTAAAGACGTGTCGGAGTCTCAGCTCCAGAAACCAGGAGGACGGCCGCTCGTCGTCGTCTTACCCTCTCCAGTGTGATCTCCTCGTACTCATAGTCAGCCTCCGTCCCGTTCACCTGCACACGCGCACACACACACACACACACACACACACGATTTATCAGTTACCTGTTAGGTCACGTTAATAAACAACAGGTGATTGATCTTCTCAGCTGAAGAGGACACAGAGTTTGAACCTTCAGACTGTGTGTTGTTGTGAACCACAGACATGTTTCCACAGGTTCACCTTGTTAAATAGAAACACCTGCCTCCTCGCCATCAGCTGATCTATCATCATTAACTCACAGTTTTTCAGCATAAAACAATAATTCCTAACGATATAATTGATTAAATGGACAGAACCTGGACTCAGAGCAGCAGCAGCAGGATAATAAAGAATAAAGAATTAAAAAAGCTGAATTCTGTCACGATAATATTCATTGAGGTTTCTGGTGAAACGACCTTCACAAGCTGCAGCAGGAAGCAGGAAATGTTCTTTTTCAAACCTTCTGAGACTGGATGAAATGTTTCTGCAGATCCTCTGATGAAGCGACAGTGACTCGCTCTGATTATCAGGCTAAGACATTGACCTTCAAAATAAAAGTCTGGTCTGAGCAGGTGAACAAGTTGAACTCACGTATGGAGGCGTGTCCAGGCTGTCGGTGTTGACCACCACAGGGGGAGGATTGGCCTGAGGAGAGAAGAGACATCACAGCGTCAGAGGAGACGTCTTCGCTCAGAAACACCCCCCCACAAACTGACCCCCCCCCTCCCCCCGCCCCCCCCCCCCCCCCCCCCCCCCCCCCCCACACACACACACACACCTCCCATTCAATCAGCATCCAAACACAAAACCTGAGCAACCTCCCACTGAGCTCCACCCCTACAGAAACACCACACACTGAACCCAAGCAGCAAATGAAAGAGACTCACTCTCCTCATGATGCTACAGACCAACTGAGGACAGGACAGGAAGCCGTGGATTTGAGCAGAGATTAGCGAGGACAGAGCGAGCGAGCGCTATCAACATGGCGGCATGTCACTGTGAAGCAAGAAGCCTGAAATCAACCGACATCAAAGTCCAGCAGGATGGAAAGACTCCTCTCCTTCTTCTTCTTCTTCTAGCCTCAAAATCAATCTCTCCCTAACTCGCTCACTCACTCACTCACTCGCTCGCTCACTCACTCGTTCTGCTCCTGTCTGCCTCTCTCGCTCGTCGCTCACTTTCTGCCCGGGAGGAGCCAGATGGGCTCTTAAAAGTCAAATGGGGGGAGTGTGGCATTTCTCCCACTGTGTGCATCTCTAATCTGCTCACTTCATCAGAGCCACAGCTGGACGGCAGACATGGGAGTGAAAACGCTGCGTGGCGGCGGCGGCGGTGACGGCGGCAGAAAGACGAGCAGCCACATGAAGGAGGAGACAGACGAACAGACAGATGCAGCACAGAGGAAAAGACAGGTGGAGGAAAATAAAAAGAGAAAACAAAAAAACCTGTGACGTCGGAGGGATGACGGTGGTCTCGGCTGGGATTGGCGAGATTGGGATCACAGGGATTATGGGAGAGGAAGGCGGGGCGGCTTCGGCCTGCTGAACAATAGCATGGTGAGGGGTCAAAGGTTAGACAAACACAGTGCAGCACAGATGAACAGTGAGGAGGAGGAGGAGGATGTTGACTGACGGGTGTCCATGTCGTGTGTCTGTTTGTTTTGAACACACCGAGGTGCCAGGTGGGTGGAGTCTGACACACACAGGCCACAGAGGGTCAGAGAGGTCGGCCAATCACACGAAGACGTGCAGTGATTGACAGACTTCCTGACACTTTCCGGACAATTCCTGATGCGACAAACTCCGCCCATCTGCTGCTCTAAGAAGATTAAAGCCACACTATCTGACCTGAGTGTGTGTGTGAGTGTGTGTGTGTGTGTGTGTGTGTGTTAAATCCTCCGTCCCTCGGCTCAGTCTCAGCAGGGGGTGAATGTCCTTTTGGTGATTATTGAAAAGCAGCAGATATTTCAATCTGGGAGAGGAGAGAGTATTAACCCCCGACAGCTCAGCGGTGACATCAGCGCACATGGTCAAAGGTCAAAGGTCAGTTGCACAACTGTCACAGCAATGTGCCACAGCAGCACTGATTTCAGGTCTGATTTCTGAGTTCATCCTGACGATGAAAGGTCACGGGGTCAATGAAATGTGAGGGGTTCGTCCTCGGGGGGGAGGGACAGACGACCACGTCCGTCTCCTTCTCATGGAAATATCTCAGTGACGCCTCGATGGAACTTCTTCAAATTTGAAACAAACATTCACTTGGACTCAAGGATGAACTGATTAGATTTTGGTGGCTAAAGGTCAAAGGTCAAGGTCAGTGTGACCTCACAAAACACTTTAGCCACAACTCACACCTTCACAGAAATTATGACAAAACGGTTCATATTTTGTGACTCTGGATAAACAGGGACGTGACCCGGAACTAGTCTGAGTGGCGGAGGGATACAAGAGGAGGCGATTCTAGTTTATTTTTAATTATTCACAGTCAGTAGTTTATAAACACATCAACAGAAACAGAATATACAGATAAATATCTTTAACTGTAATTTCAGCTCAGATGCCTCATGTCAGTGATGATCGACTGATTATCATTACTGACATTAAAGGAACTTCAGTAAAAAAAAAAAGTTCCACACTGGTTTAGAAAATGTTGTAAAGATCACACAAGGTTTTATTTTCTATCACTAATCTCCTGCTGACTCCCAACACCAACGCCGTCACACCTGCCACTGGTCCACATCAGTCTGATGTCACACTGTTTCACCCCCAGACTAACTCAGGTCTAAGACCAATGTTACCACGGTAACATGTTAATCAGTGACACCTGTGCTGACCAGCAGCACCCAAAAACAAACAGAAAAACATGTCTCATAATTTGTGGTTTGCTAAAGTTGTGAGAAAGATTTTTAGATATTTATTTTACATATGCATATATTTCATATATGAACATTAGATATTTAAAGAAAACAAAAAACAAAAAAAATAGCAGCAGATGAGTGAGATCAGTGGTTTTAACCCTCGGGTCAGGTTCAGTTAATGGGAGACAAGATAAATAGATCTGACCAAAGATGGTGAACGTGACAGCAGCAGGAGGCTGCCACATACATTTATATTAATTTTAATATTTGGTTTTAAACTGGAGGGAGATTCAGAGGGGAAAGTGACTCCACCGCTTCATCTAGAACAGCTGGTAACTACTACACCAGAAAATCATTTCACAATAACTCAAGTGACCAAACTGCTGGTACGTGACTGTGGCTTCACTTTAAAACCCTGGTTCACACATTGAAGCACAATAAAGAGGAGTGAGCGTGAGGCGGCCTTCGACACTGTGACCTCTGTTATGTAAGAGCGGGACCTCGCGAAGCTGCTGGCAGGAAACGCCGCTGTGTGTTTCGAAGAGGCTTAATTGTTGTGCTGCAGCAGCAGAACCCGGAGCCCATGGAAAACAAACAGCCGCTAAAATTAGCCGCTCACATCGACCGCATCGATCCAGCAGCCCTACATCTGGAGCGCCGCTCAGAGAGCCGCTGATAATGGGGCTTAATTGCTCCCAAAGAATTCAAACGGGTTTGACAAACGCAGCAGAGGACAGAGTTTCTGTAGGAATTTAACCAGACTGATGGGTGAGAGTGAGCGCTCCTGTCACACACAGAATCTTTGACCATCGACACCAGAGAGACATGAGCTAACCAGGACAACTGGGTCCAAAAGAAATGATTCCAAAACTGTTGATTTAACAATTAGCCAATAAATCAATCAGTCAATCATCAGCAGATTAATTAACAGATGTGATATTTGATTGAAGTCATTAAGTGAGAAAAAATACCTGATCTTCTCTCCTTTATATCTCAGTAAGCTGAATCACTGAGGGACATTTGAACGCATCACTAGAGAGACTAAATGAAGAATCACTTAACACAAAGATGATCAACTTTACAAACAACAGATATCTAAAGCTTTTTCACAACAATTACAAGTTCTTACATTTTACAGTTTAAAATAATAATAATGCTTTTATTAGTCAGAACACAGAGCACATTCGTTTGTTGACACTTTCACCTGTTTGACAGAAACCTCAAACACATCTTCTCTTGTTCTTATTCCCAGACACGTTCACTGATCTTGCAGACAGCAGAAACATCAGTGTGACTCTTTAATGGAAGTGACTGTTAGCAGCAGCTCTAAAACCAATCACATGATAATTATTGTACACAGCATCGTCATCTACTGCATGTAGAAGAATAAAGGAAAAAAGCCAAACTGATTAAAAACAACAAGAGGAAGAAATAAAACAAAGACAGAGCTGCTGGAAAGTGATGGAGGATGTTTAATGAGCGGAGCAGAGAGATGATGAGCTTCCTGTTTTCAGCTGCTGGGACACACGTGGACTTTCTCTATTGATTCTCCATAAACTGACACACTGTAGTAACTCAATCTGACACGCACACAAACACACTGCTGCCACAACGCTGTACATGTGCAGCCAGTGACCACCAACAACACGACGTCTGTGACGCTGCTGCAGACACAAGAACAAAACCAAAACAGCAGTTTTCAGTTTGGTTTTCTCAAAGTCTTATTAACAGGTGTGTCAGTTCTGACTTTGACAAACACAAACATTTGTTTCTACAAATCCTTTTTATCGAACAAGACCCTGTGATGAATCAAACACAGTCTAAAGGAGGGAAAACTTTGACTGAAGTCTGGAGCTACTGTTTGAAAGTGAGCAGTTATCAGTGTCAGCTGTCAGAGCTGGAGGACGATACTGAGTGCGATAAACTTCAGTAGCTCTTGTCACTAACTTGGAGTGATGAATACTTACTTACTTACTACAGTATTTTACTTTGAGGTATCAATACCTGAGAGGTTGGTCAACTGGTGACCAGGTCCTGAACGAAGCAAAGAGACCATCAACTTCAGAACAACACAATCTATGAAAAGTACAATCCTCACCAACAACCAACCAGTCACAGAGAAGTTCCCTGGCACACAGCAGCAATGACCTCAAGTGGCACCACAACACCAACCAAGTCCAACCGCGACGTCCTGAAACAACTCAAACAGATTCAGGCCAGAGTCGACTAGTCCAATCACACCCGTGATCCAGAGCGTCCAGTTCACCATCAGAAACCTCTGGCAGAAGGTCCAGGTCATGCAGAGGCCGGACAGAACCGGACCTTCTTCCCCACAAACATACAGGTAATAAAAGTAACGATGACGCCCACCTGGAGCTTTGAGCTTCAGCAGACTCAGTGAAACTTCATACTCTTCATTATGAACCCTGGTACTTTTTGGTATCAACTCAGCGGAACAAATCCTTCAGTACCTTTTGACACCGACTTGTCCTAAATACCCGAGTTCTTTTTGGTATGGACTTTGTGCTACGAACAATTGCCAACAACGTGGTGCTAGAAAAACTTCAGTAGGTTTTAAAACAATGTTACACTATTTTCTGACAACAACAAACAAACGCAACGAATGAAACGTCTCAGTACCACGGACACTGAATAAAAACAAAACATCTCCAGTTTCTTACAGAAGCACGTCAGACGTCATTGAGGCTGAAGTACCTTATTGAAGGCGAAGGGCACCCAGGGAATCTCTGGCCTGTTGGCTGCGTGGCTGCTGCTGATGACTTTGGCC